TCTTCTTCCTCCCTCTTCGTTTTTCTCCTTACTCGCTCGATCAGCCTTGCTTCTTGCTTCTCTCGCGCGCCCTGTCTCTCTCTCACACACACACACACCAGGCCCTGCCTTGCTGAAACCACTCTCCTGGAATCAGAAAATCTGCCGTTTAATTTAGAAGAGGCGTTGGAGCAAGGTGCGGCGAGCTGAAGTCTGTGTGCATGTGTGTGCCCGCTTAGAAGGGGCCTCTCTTGTTCCCAGTGGCTGAATCCATCCCATAGTTACTCAAGCATATCACTAGCAGAGAATAGAGGATTGCTCCCCACACGTTCTCCAATTGCAGCCCAATAGACGGTATATTAACCTCTGGTTAGTGCGGGGCCAAGTTTATAGCTTATGCTGTGGGATGTTTAAGAGGGGAGTGGGGTGGGGTCCTTTTTCCAACTTGAGCAGCTGTGCTTTCTGGAACGCTAAGGCCGCTATGAGCATTTAGCTTAATGGAAATTTGCAGTAACAGAGAGGGAGCGTGTCTAGCCTTTAAAATAAATATGAATTTTATTCCACTTCCGCTCATTTAAGCTTCCTTTGGTACGTGTGAACAGCTTCATGGAGCGCAGAGGGGAGACGCACAGGCGCAGAATGGCTAACATGTTGTGAGGAGTGACAGCTTGTTCCAGTGCCCGCTAATCGTCCTCATCTGTGCCTGACATGTCAATGCCCACATTCTGTCAGTGCCAATCAGCCACTTAATTGAACACAATTAGCACCCCACCACAACCCCCCATTTGCATTACATTCTTCAAAGGCCCATTTCTCTCCCTCCAGCACCAACCCCCCCACCACCACCACCATTCTACCTCTCACTCTGCTTCTGTCTCTTCATCCTGTGGCACTAGTGGAAGACACTTTTCAGTTTTTATGAATGTGCCGCGGCCAATTAACGCAGTGGCATGCAGGCCTGAGCCCGTCATCTGCTGCCTGCCACCATCCTGGCTTTCTGCTGCGGCCCCACACCACCCCTCGCGCCACCTCCACCGTGACCAAAACGCTTTAATTCAATTTATGCAATCACTGTTATTTTTAAATAGTCATTTTGTCTGCTCAGATGAGGGGCCTTACTGCCCGCTGGGCCGGCCTTCTCGTGTGAGGGATGGGGGGAAGGGCGGGACGCTGTGTGAGCAGGAGTCGACTGACTTGGAGGGGGGAGTCACTGATATTTTCATTTGTTATTTATTTCCTTCATTTTTTTTTGTTTGGTTTCATGTTAAGTGTTTGATTAGGATTTTAAAAGATTTAAATTAAGTTTTCATGTAACATTTAATGACCTAACATAAGAAGTCTGTCTGTTCTTTGTGTCTTTCTATGTATTAAATACGCACATTTCTATATAGTTAAGGTTTTATTTCATATTTTGACTGTTTCCAAAGTCAGACACTTTCCAGACTTCTGGGCTACAGAAATAAACACTATTCTCTTCCTGTAATCACACCCCGAGGACTGGCCTTCAAATATTGATCTGAAATTCAGTGTCATCACTGTGGATCTTTAATCGTTCTTTGCTGGAGCGAGTATCAGCCAGGCAGATCTGCTAAGGTGCACAATGTTATTCTGCACTACTCAGATAACTTACAGACATTTGGAGTGCTCATTTTTCCCTGTCTGCCCCAGTGACCTCTGCCTAACTTAAAGGTACATCTTGGGGGCATTTTGATTTGGGCAGAACGGGGAGGTATCGGTGACAGAGGAACTAATCCAGTATTGCGCAGATTAAGAGTATTTGTGGAGCGGGGTGTGTTGGCGCTGGCGCTGGGAATGGAACAGAAGGGGCTCCTATCAGCTCTCCAGGCAGGCTAGCCCTCAGGCCAGTGCAGTCCTACAGGAGTCTTTGTACTTCCCAAAGCCTCCACTCTCCTCTCGCTCACGCTATATCACTCTCTCTGCTGCCCCCCTCGCCTTCTTTCTATAGGCTATCATATTCTCAGCACTCCATTTCCTCACTTTACACTTGTGAATTGGTGTTGTTTTAATCCAGTGCAAGGGTGCATTCTTCTTATTATCAGGTGCAGCAGGGACGACTGCTCCTATAAGGAGACACGAATGAGCTCCATTTCACTGCCTAACACAATGTAAAAAATTAAATAGTCGAAGTGGAATAATGTTGACTTTTATGATCTCGTAATGATTATAATGGCTGAAAGAAAACTCAGCTCTTCCGGCACATTCCCATTCTCTTTCTTTACTGTGTTTCTTTTCTCTCATTGTGTTTTTTTCTTGTATCACTTGCAGTGTTTCAGCTCCGTCTCTGTCACGTTGTTTTATTCCAGAGTGAAATCCAACAAAGAACAACTCGTCAAACATTCGCGCAAACAAAAAAATGTTACAAAAAAATGTAATTTGGCTGTTGAAGAAATTAGGGGAGGGGAGGGGGGTTTGAAAGGGCCTCTTTTTGTCTCAAGTGTGCTATTTATTTATCTGAAAGGATGCACATTGTATCCATTTACACTTCCCGCACTCACTTTGCCACAGGCTGGAGGGCTCAGAAGTTGAGAGAATTAATTACTTTTTTATTATTATTTATAAAGTAATCTATCTGTAGAGAGAGAGCAGAAAAGGAGGGGGGCGGGTGTGAAGGGAGGGGTGTTGTGCGCAAGAGGCAGGGAACGCCCTGGAGCATTGTCCTTTAAACTGGGTCCTGGCTCACATTATCTCCCAAACCAGCACTCACACAACGTTAAACAACAAACGAACTCTGGGCTGCTGAGGACGCCGTATGCGAGGCGAAACAGGGAGG